CCCAACACTTTCACTCGAAATGGGAGTAAGCTCAACAACTTCCTGATTGCCGGATCTTTTCGCTTAGCCTATTTATTGTTTCATCTACTCTTCACTTTTTTGGATAAGTGTATTCTATTCTATAGTTCGCCACAATTCGGCTTTAGTGCTTTTGCCTAAGCTGCCAGGATTCTGCTGGCCCTTGGCTGATTTTGCCACTTCCTTTAATTTCGTAGCCATTAATCAAAAATTCTGATGGCACCAATTGCTGAATTCGACTATTTTGTGTTTTTCTTCTCGTCATTGTTCTTATTTTTTTCATCCTTTATCCATCTTCCCATTCTTCTCATGCAGTCGTGATTCCTCTTGGCAACAGTCTGGCTATTTAAAAGCATTTCATTTTTCATTCTTACATTCGTTCGTCATTTCTTCTCTCTCGCCCACTCCAACCTGGTATAGAAGAAGCTGAAGTCCTCTCTCATACTTCGGTAAGCAATACGCCTGAGGCGTTTGACCTATGCACCTTTAATGAAGATACCTGCGGCTGGATTAACGACCTGAGTAGCTGGAGACATCGTTGGGCTCAGCTGCCTCTTCTAGAAGTTCCTGATATTCAAGCTTCAGGCCCAGATACAAGCATGTGCTTGCAGACTAAGTCGCTGGCAGACGAGTCGGCCTCGACCAGCCAACGGACCAGGAAGAAGCTCAGTCGTAGCGGATCCCTTGCATCGGGCTCGGCTGCCTCAGTGGTCTCTTTGAGTCTATCCGATATTCAGGCTCGGCTCTGGAGTCCTGCTTTCACTTCTGATCTGGGCCTGAACTGTTTGGTTTTTAAATATTTTATTTATATGGGCGAATCAGATGGTCATATCAACACTGATGGCCGGTTATCAAACTTGGCTTTACTTCAACGTCATGAAGGGTGATTCCTGTCTTGCTTTGCTATCTGTTCGGCTTTATTGTTCCTTTTCACAGTTAATTATAGTAGGCGCTAAAATTGAGTAAATAAATGGTCTAAGCAATGGTTGCCACTGGAAATCATTATATTTGCTTCGTTTGCTTGGCTGTTTTCATAGCACTTTTCCATAAATCACCACCTTTAGCCTATTTTTTGCATTTGGAGCCATCATTTAAGTGTATTTTTTTCTTTTACATGATGCTTGGGAACTTTTAACTTTTCAGTGACTTTATTTCAACGTAATTGCGTCTTGTGCTTAAGCTGCTAGTTTACTCTCCACCTACTTTTGTTATTTGCGCATTGTCCGTAACTCTGTCGATGCTATAAGCCTCTGTAGCACTTCAGGCTTCTTTCTGGTTGTATTGTATGCTAACTTCCGATATATACTTGAGTCTCTCTCTTCTGCACAGACTTAAATTTTGTCTTAAATCTCTGCTTCGGCTTGCAAGCCTTGTTTGTGTGTGTATGGTTCACTAAAATTGGAAACGGATTCTTCACTTATTGACATTTTCACTTTTCTGGGGTAGCCAAATTTGAACCATGTATTTTCATCAAAACCCACTTACTCTTCTTGTATTTTCTCACATCATTCGAAGATCCTGGCATACGAATTCGACTCTCTATTTTGGCTAAAGGATCGCCTGCTTTATTTAGCTTTTATGGAATGGGTCTTTGTTATAGAATTTATAATACCATCATTTTTTAATACTTCGATGATTGCGGCCTTGCATTCTTTGAGACGTTTTCCTTTGGAGGCGCTTTGGCTTTTCGTCTGGCTCTTATAGTTTTGCTAATATTTGCGACGTATTCCATTCAGGCTCTACTACACGACCTCGAGTTTGTGATTTCTCGGACAATATGTGTGGTTGGGTGAATGACAACAACAACTGGAAGCATCGTTGGTCTATTATTGAACTTGAATCAGCTGAAAATCGGCCAGGCTTTCCTACACAAGAGCTTTCCTGCTGTTTCCAGGCGAAATCGTCTTTCAGTTCTTCCAGTGAAATTGAAGCTGTCTCCATGTTTGGCC